AAAAAAGGGGGGGGGGGGGGGGGGGGGGGGGGGGTGTGCACCCATGAGTATAGTCTCTAGCCACTCATACCATAGACTGATATATGGCATATGAGGACACCATCTCCTTGTCAAGTTGAAAATATATCTCTTGAGCATGAGACTTCTCAGTTACCACTAAGTAGCTCTGCTTCATCACTGCAACCGCCAAGATAAACACAATAAATGACACTTTCAACCACTTTAGCTTCACAATGTTTTTGGAGGAAACCCTAGTACATTTCCTTGATGCGGATGTGGCTGTGGGTGAAGTCCATTTGATCGATATAAAATGAAGAAAAGGACAACCATGTCTGGTTTGGGGCTCCTACGTACTCATGACCAAAGCTGTGTTAGGAATGATAGGATTAATAACATTGTTTAGTTCAGCTCTGAGCTAGAAGGTGATGTCGAAAATACGTTTGGTTATGATGAGAGTCCCAGATCATAACTGATCCACGGGATGAAGACATCAAATCCACATTGAATAGATATAAAAGGTTGTAGATATCTCTTGATTGAGAATGCGATTTATCATCAACTATAAATTTGTGCACAATCCCGCCAATCTCAATGAAACTCCAAGCAGGGACTGTAACAATTTTCTTCTCTCTCATCATTTTCCTTAATCTCATCACACTCTCCCAGCTGCCCATAGTGGCATATAAGTTGGCCAGCAAAACATACCTTCCACTATGTTCAGGCTCCAATTGGATCAGATGCTTCCCTGCTTTCTTCCCCAGCTCAATGTGGCCATGTATCAGACAACCATTTAGAAATGAGCCCCATAAGGCTCCATCTGGTTTCATGGGCATAGTATTGATCAATATCTCTGCCTCTTTCATTCGTCCTGCTCGGGCTAAGAGATCAACCATACATCCATAGTGCTCAATCACTGGTGATATACCATAGAATTTACTCATACGTCCAAGCAATCGCCATCCTTCATTCGCTAGAATTTCGTGATTACAAGCAGCAAGAATTGCAACAAAAGTTACAGCATTTGGTTTTGGTCCTGTCTGCTCCATCTCTTCGAAAAGCTCCAAAGCCACCTCATTGTTACCATTTATGGCTAAACCAAAGATCATAGTACTCCATGTAGTGACATCTTTACGAGTCATCTTCCTAAATATTTCTTCTGCTGTTTTTATGCTCCCACATTTACCATAAAAATCAATCAATGCAGTCCCAAGCTCAAGTTCGTAGTCAAAACAGTTGTTATCCAAATAAGTATGAATCCATTTTCCTTCTTCAAATGCACCCACGGCCGCGCAAGCACTAAGAACACTCAACAAGAGAGATCTACTAAGCTTCACATTAGCACAATTCTTCAATTTGCAAAACAACTCAATTGCCTCATTGAAACACTCATTGCTAACATACCCAGAAACCATTGCACTACAAGAAACATCATTTTTCTCGGACATTGCATCAAACACTTCCCTTGCCTCATCAACAAGCCCATTACCACAATACCCAGTAACGAGACTGGTCCAACAAACCACATTTTTGTATGAGCATTCTTCAAAAACATCAAAAGCCAAATCCATTGCATCAAACTTAGAGTACATATATATAAGAGAACTAATAACATAAACATCAGAGTCATGCCCATTCTTCTTTATCTGACCATGAACTTGACATAATGAAGCTACACAAGCACATGCTCTTGCTAAAATTGGGAAAGTACGAGCATTTGGTTCTACGTTTTCTCTTCGCATTTGGGCAAAAACCGAGAGACCCATTTCAGGTTTTGAGGTTTTTGAAAAACCCATTATCATGGAATTGAAATCAAAGATGGTGGGTATCGAAATTTGGTTAAAAACTGTTTGTGCATAGTCTATGTCACCAGTTTCATCAACGGCACAGAAAGCTAAGAGTTTGCTGGCGATGTAGGTGAAACGAGCGAGGCCAACTGTGGTGAGCTGTGCGTGAATTTGTTTCAGCTCGTTCATGGAACAGCATGTTTGCAGCAGGCGAAGAAATGGGAGATTTGAGAAAAATTTCGAGAAGGTCCTGCTCATATGTAGAACAACTTTGCTTTATATATATGCACAGAGACGAAGGGATTTTGAGGATCAAAGTTTGGTCGCACTATGATTATGAAAGGATTTCGATCCTCTCTATTGCAAATCTTGTCATTTTTTCTGTCAGAGTTGAATTCATCGGCTATCAGTCCCGTCAGTAGATTCCACTTAAGACCACTAGTTTGCTTAGTGAAAGGTAAATTACAATGAACGCCGCCGTTTCTGACATTTTCACTGCCCTTTCGTGTTTAAAAAATTATACTTAGACCCAAGTATCGTAATCGAGCAGGTGTTTAAATAGTATTTGAAGTTACCGTTTTACCCTACTTTTACATCTCCGTCTTTGAGGGACACAACAATTTTTTTTTTTAAACTTTATTTTGATTAATTTTTTTTGAATCCGGTCAAAAACAGCCGATCCACAACAACCATGTTTGTCACTCCCTCTACTTGAGTTGAAGCAAAATGGATAAATTAGATTCAGATTTTTTTTTTCAATTAGGTTGGGGTAAACTGGGTATAATTCATGCTTCAAAATTTATTTGATGACTTCATTATTGTCAGATTTGTCCGTTGACCGTGTAGCAGGTGAGGGGTGAATGGATGTTGAGAGAAAGGAATAAAAAAAACAATCAAATAGAACTTAAAAATTATAATTTAAATATATATTATTTTTTGACAATCGTAAACAAATTGTTAAATATATATTATTTAAAAATTGAACTTTACTTAATTTAACAAAATTTGAATTGCAAAACAGGAATTTATTATGATCAAATATCGCTTTTTTGAAACTTATTTACTCAAATACCATGTTTTTAAATTTATTTATCAAATTATTGTTGTTTTTTCAAAAAAAAAAAAACATGTGTTGATTTTAATGTAGAAGCATCTATTGAAAACACTTTTTTAGAGGTTTTTCATTGAAAAAAAACGTACTTTTGAATTGAAAATCATGTTTTAGAAAAACAATTTTTTTTTAACAATAATAGTTTAGTAAATAAATCGTTTTGCTTTTAGTTATGCTAATTTTTTTCATCTCTTTTTCAAGGCTTGAGATGATTATGAGACTTTAAAGTTTTGTATATGTATTAAGCAAGAGTAGTACTCTTTTTAAACTAGCATTCAATTTTTTTTTATAGTGAAAGATCAATTTGAATTGTCTACAATATAGACGGTTTAAGTTGAACAATTGAAATGTCAATATCGTGCAATTGCTTAAGCTATTTTTATTTTAATTTTTTGTTGTTTTTACTAGAATAATTATTTACACTAACGAACCTTTGATCTAATGATATTTCTTACTTTGTAAAAATTTTCTCTTGAGGACAAGGGTTCAAATCCCCCTCCGCTCTGGCTCCGTCTCCGTCTCCGTCTCTCTCCCAAAAAACAAATTTCTTGGGTTTTAAGAAATGATATTGGAAGCTATAAGTTTTGTGGGGAGGATTGGAATCACGAATGGCAGCTATTAAAAATGACGGAATTCTTGCAAGTTTTTTTTTTAATACATATGAGAAAAAAACAAAAAATGAAGAAGCAAAAACACTTGGACTTTTATTGCATAAAAAGGTCTTTCTAATTTCTAGGGTTCAAAGGGTTGAGAAAGCTGAGAACATGGTAATGATCAGTAGATTTTAGAAACAAAATGTCCCTATGATTCTTGATCAATGGTTATTATTATTATTAACATGTGTAAACTTTTATTATTTTATTATTTTTATTTAATTAGTAGTTGCAAATCATCCAAATCAAAATCAATAACTGAAGATGAATTTCAGTAAACCAAATCAGTAGCCTTATCCCTCAAATGGAGGAATGATGCTTGCATCATGGGTCTTTATCAGGAAGCTCTTACAGCTATGTAGTGATTAGGCTTGCCAAACCACTTGTCTTGGCAAGAGTAGGGTTACTACATCTGTGACTCTCGAACCTCTAAGTCTGTAAACATTTTGACGCTTTTCAAACACGGTAGTGACAAAATATTCGTATACTAAATTGCCAAAGTATTCAACGGCACAGTAATTGGTGGGGGTGTAAGGCGTGGCCCTGATTTGAAAAGGAATCGAGTCCTTGGAGGGCAAGATGCAAGAGACATTACTCTTACCTATTCTCTCAGAGAACATCCAACTATTTGAAGGATTTTCTCAAAACTTCCTTAAAATGGAGGCTGATAATTGCCCAAACCCCATTTAACAAATCAAATTGTGATGAAATTACATACACCTACTGGTAGACTATACCTGCAGGGTCATGGGCACCAAAGATCCACAAAACAAGCTCTTCCCTAATAGGCACCACTTCACCATTATCTCATGCATGCAGAACAGGCCTTTTAGGATAGTAATATTCACAAGATTTCCCAAACAGCCTTTGGAGTGTAAATGATCAGATACTACGTTTCCCCAATAGGCACCACTTCACCCCTAAGATGTGGTGTACCTTCTAGGGCATGGCCATAGCAGCCCTTACCCACTGGGGAAGCCCTCCAAAGAGGCCTAAAAGGAGAGAACCGCAGGTGCTCCCTAAAATCAACCTGAGACAGCCAAAACCCCAATCCCGCCAAACCGTCAAAACCAATTCAGCAGTCTAGGGGTATGTTACAGACTAAAAATGCCACTAAAACAAGTATGTCATTTATGTTTTAAAACATAAGCACAAAGTGATGCACAATGCAAATTACTCATCTTTTGATATATTTTTCCAATTTTTCCAAAGCGATTCAAACTAAGTCTAAAGGCCAACGNTTGTCTACAATATAGACGGTTTAAGTTGAACAATTGAAATGTCAATATCGTGCAATTGCTTAAGCTATTTTTATTTTAATTTTTTGTTGTTTTTACTAGAATAATTATTTACACTAACGAACCTTTGATCTAATGATATTTCTTACTTTGTAAAAATTTTCTCTTGAGGACAAGGGTTCAAATCCCCCTCCGCTCTGGCTCCGTCTCCGTCTCCGTCTCTCTCCCAAAAAACAAATTTCTTGGGTTTTAAGAAATNTAATTGCTTAAGCTATTTTTATTTTAATTTTTTGTTGTTTTTACTAGAATAATTATTTGCACTAACGAACCTTTGGTCTAATGATATTTCTTACTTTGTAAAAATTTTCTCTTGAGGACAAGGGTTCAAATCCCCCTCCGCTCCGTCTCCGTCTCCGTCTCCGTCTCTCTCCCAAAAAACAAATTTCTTGGGTTTTAAGAAATGATATTGGAAGCTATAAGTTTTGTGGGGAGGATTGGAATCACGAATGGCAGCTATTAAAAATGACGGAATTCTTGCAAGTTTTTTTTTTAATACATATGAGAAAAAAACAAAAAATGAAGAAGCAAAAACACTTGGACTTTTATTGCATAAAAAGGTCTTTCTAATTTCTAGGGTTCAAAGGGTTGAGAAAGCTGAGAACATGGTAATGATCAGTAGATTTTAGAAACAAAATGTCCCTATGATTCTTGATCAATGGTTATTATTATTATTAACATGTGTAAACTTTTATTATTTTATTATTTTTATTTAATTAGTAGTTGCAAATCATCCAAATCAAAATCAATAACTGAAGATGAATTTCAGTAAACCAAATCAGTAGCCTTATCCCTCAAATGGAGGAATGATGCTTGCATCTTAACTTTCGGTTTCACTCATCATGGGTCTTTATCAGGAAGCTCTTACAGCTATGTAGTGATTAGGCTTGCCAAACCACTTGTCTTGGCAAGAGTAGGGCTACTACATCTGTGACTCTCGAACCTCTAAGTCTGTAAACATTTTGACGCTTTTCAAACACGGTAGTGACAAAATATTCGTATACTAAATTGCCAAAGTATTCAACGGCACAGTAATTGGTGGGGGTGTAAGGCGTGGCCCTGATTTGAAAAGGAATCGAGTCCTTGGAGGGCAAGATGCAAGAGACATTACTCTTACCTATTCTCTCAGAGAACATCCAACTATTTGAAGGATTTTCTCAAAACTTCCTTAAAATGGAGGCTGATAATTGCCCAAACCCCATTTAACAAATCAAATTGTGATGAAATTACATACACCTACTGGTAGACTATACCTGCAGGGTCATGGGCACCAAAGATCCACAAAACAAGCTCTTCCCTAATAGGCACCACTTCACCATTATCTCATGCATGCAGAACAGGCCTTTTAGGATAGTAATATTCACAAGATTTCCCAAACAGCCTTTGGAGTGTAAATGATCAGATACTACGTTTCCCCAATAGGCACCACTTCACCCCTAAGATGTGGTGTACCTTCTAGGGCATGGCCATAGCAGCCCTTACCCACTGGGGAAGCCCTCCAAAGAGGCCTAAAAGGAGAGAACCGCAGGTGCTCCCTAAAATCAACCTGAGACAGCCAAAACCCCAATCCCGCCAAACCGTCAAAACCAATTCAGCAGTCTAGGGGTATGTTACAGACTAAAAATGCCACTAAAACAAGTATGTCATTTATGTTTTAAAACATAAGCACAAAGTGATGCACAATGCAAATTACTCATCTTTTGATATATTTTTCCAATTTTTCCAAAGCGATTCAAACTAAGTCTAAAGGCCAACAGGATGCATAACCCAGAACAAAGGTAACCATAAGCTTCAAATGAAAATTTAACATGTTCTTCCTTTGTAGGATGAGCCCTGATTCCATTTCACACCAATGACTTGCACAACTCATCATTCAATTTATGTACAACTGAACGTTCATATTAGAATATAGATGATGAATGAATAGCCAAATGGAGCATATCTGTTAATTAGGCAGGAACTATAGTATTAAGAGAACATGAGCTCTAATGTTTTCACGTCGTGAAGAGAATGAGCTAATCCTAATGATTAAATACGAATGGCCAGAGTCTAAAGAAAAATGTTAAAGCCATCTTTCGGGTGAAAGAATTACTGCTAGACAAACCTTCGCTGGGTTTGCATTTCAAATTCATTCAAGATAGAATCAGGATCCATTTGAATCCGTCAATGCCAAAGCTTTAGGCAAAACCCAGCTGGCACAGCAGCACATCTCTTGCTTGAAATAACTTCTGAAAAGGAATCAACAAGCTGCCCTGCAAGAGATGCTGGATCTTCAAAGAGAGTGTCGACAAAGACCTTAACAACCCTCACCTCCTGTGGGGTTGCTCTCAAGCTATACCAAGTCAGAAATTTCTGCCTAAACGCCGTTTCGATATGTCCCTTACACTCCAACCACCTTATCACCTTCACGTAGTACTCAAAATCCTTGTNTATTTTTCCAATTTTTCCAAAGCGATTCAAACTAAGTCTAAAGGCCAACGGGATGCATAACCCAGAACAAAGGTAACCATAAGCTTCAAATGAAAATTTAACATGTTCTTCCTTTGTAGGATGAACCCTGATTCCATTTCACACCAATGACTTGCACAACTCATCATTCAATTTATGTACAACTGAACGTTCATATTAGAATATAGATGATGAATGAATAGCCAAATGGAGCATATCTGTTAATTAGGCAGGAACTATAGTATTAAGAGAACATGAGCTCTAATGTTTTCACGTCGTGAAGAGAATGAGCTAATCCTAATGATTAAATACGAATGGCCAGAGTCTAAAGAAAAATGTTAAAGCCATCTTTCGGGTGAAAGAATTACTGCTAGACAAACCTTCGCTGGGTTTGCATTTCAAATTCATTCAAGATAGAATCAGGATCCATTTGAATCCGTCAATGCCAAAGCTTTAGGCAAAACCCAGCTGGCACAGCAGCACATCTCTTGCTTGAAATAACTTCTGAAAAGGAATCAACAAGCTGCCCTGCAAGAGATGCTGGATCTTCAAAGAGAGTGTCGACAAAGACCTTAACAACCCNCCTCAAACACTTTGATCAACTATCTCGGCAGTTTCTAAGCTCTCCCACAGTCTCTATTATAAGATTCTTTATTGTTGCATTACCTCTCATCCATACATAGCATATTAAACTACCACNGACAGGTACCAGATGTGTGGTGAGTGGAGCACACTTTGGATTTTGGTTATGTTTTCTATCTTCAGGTTAACAGATTGCTCAGATTAATTTGTCTTTTAATGTGTTTTAGGATCCAAGGATATTTTCTGCCTCTGCAAATGACAGCAGGGTGTGCTAGAATGTTGGGCTAATATATTGGCGACTTAAGCAATACACTTAANTACAGGTACCAGATGTGTGGTGAGTGGAGCACACTTTGGATTTTGGTTATGTTTCTATCTTCAGGTTAACAGATTGCTCAGATTAATTTGTGTTTTAATGTGTTTTAGGATCCAAGGATATTTTCAGCCTCTGCAAATGACAGCAGGGTGTGCTAGAATGTTGGGCTAATATATTGGCGACTTAAGCAATACACTTAAGCCAGGTTTAAAAATGCTTAGTTAGGCAAAACAGGAAGTCTAAGTCTCTACAAAGACTTGTTAGAGAATTGTGTTTGTGAGATTTTGTGGATTTGTTAAGATGGTGAAGAGTGGCCTTTCTTGTCTTCTGCTTCTGTCAATATTACAGTCGAAACATAACCAAAGACATCTCTCTAAAGGACACATTCTGTAGCATGTCTTGTAGAGAATAAACTTCAAAGGTTAAGTCCTAACAATCAAAAACCACCTTAAAACCTTGATCTGAAACACCTTTGTTTGCCAAGACGTATGCCAAATAATTATCTTCTCCGTATATATGACCCATTTTAAACTGAACGCCTTGAAGATATAGCAACTTATCCCAAAAATACCTTTTTAAGATAAAGAGAATTCTGCCATATCCATTACCATATCAACCAGTAACATTAAGCTATTAAAATCCCATAAACTAGAATAGACTCTTTTCACCTCTAAATCCTGCTTGAGAAGCCACAACCCCTCCCTCTTTCAGTTAATCAACTCTAGCACCATAATCAAGCACATCCAGTCACTGAATACTACTGGTGGGAACTGTTACGCAGTCCTCACATAGTCAGAGAACAGACATCAAGATCTTCTTTTCAATTCCCAAAACTGTATCCATCCAAATTCAAACAAACATAAAAGCCAATTCACAAATCACAAGGACTTTGGACCTTATTAGCTATATTTTTTGTGTATTTTCAAGATATCCTTCACTACTTTCATTACATTTGAAGGCAATAAACTTGAATTGTAAACTGAAAGGAATAGTACTCTCAAACACTTTGATCAACTATCTCGGCAGTTTCTAAGCTCTCCCACAGTCTCTATTTTAAGATTCTTTATTGTTGCATTACCTCTCATCCATACATAGCATATTAAACTACCACTCAACATATTTCTTTTCCTAAGTGTGTGTACATGTGTGTCTCGGAATGCGTCATTGCCCAACCTGAAATCATATCAACAGCCACAATCACAAAGCAACTGCAATCATGTTGGAGACATTCTGTCTTCAAAAACGATGATGGGGTTAAAATATGGCCACCTAAGATTAATATGAATAGCCATCTTCTACCCAAGTGCTCCTGACAATATGCATTAGTATACAATTTTTTTCCTTGTAATGTTTACGAGAATAGGTAGATGAAATCCACATTTAAGCAAGCAAAATTGACCAACCAATACGACTATATTCTCATAGAAATATGAAGATATTCCTCCATTTTTGGGTGTAATTTCAGATTGGAGACAGTTGGGGGAATGTAGTATGGTAATGCTTGAAGAGGTTTATATATTCTCTTCTATGTTTTGATGCAAGGGTCTTTGGTGACTGCCCTCCACGGTACGTTTTTTTATTCCCCTATTTTTCATAAAAAGTCATACCTTATCAAAAAATAAGAATTTATCTCAGAGAAATAATGAATAAAAAAAAATTATAGACTCAAATTCAAACAAAAATAGCCTCCCAAAAATACATACCATGTTCACAATTAACAGATTTGAAATTCCATTTTCCCCAAGATCCATCACATGGAGGGTACATAAACCATGTTTTACATGTTCTACAAATCATCAAAGAAAAAGGGGTGATTTTTTCACCCATTCGCTAGTGTTTAGAATCCTAGGAAACAGAATCTGGTGATTCATCAGTTTTCAATGTCAACCTCGACCAAATTAAATGGTGGCACAAATTAGAACTAAAAATGGAAAAAAAAGAGCTAAAATAAGTCACTAAGAAATATGATAATATTTTATTAGTAAGATACTGCAACCCTATATTGGAAGGCAGTTATTGTAAAATTGTTGAATACGAGGGGTATTAGATAAATTTGAAGCTATCTATGTTGATTAGCTCTCATCCATGTTTTGGAATGTCATTCTGTTTTAATCAGTAGACAAGACGGAGAAGATCCCACACCTAAAAGTGGAGATCCTGAGTTTGAGTCATCTCACTTTTGGCCATCTAAAGGTTTCTGCCAATTACCATACGAGTGTGGCAATTTGGATTCTCTAAATTTTTCATAGGGTACCAATCCAAATCTTGCACACTATGAGAAACGCGCATCTGAGATTCGGCCGAGTCACTTACCAAAGCCTAGATGTGGTATGCTCATCGTGTGGCTAATTTGGGCCGAAGCCTTGAGAATATCATCCTAAATTAAGAAGATCCTATCAGATGTCTGTGAGACATGGAAATGCTTATTGCGTTGAGAGGTCCAGATTCCTACTTCTCTTCTTGAATGCTAGGTAGTTATCATGGTCTTCTGATTATGTAGCTTAGATGGCATATCATACCAATCTCTCTATATGCATTTAACATTTTAACAACAAATATACCAGGCCTGCAGTTTGCTTTCCATAATCACTCCTAAAGGTCCCATCTGCTTTCATAGTGATTACCCTGTGGGAATATCATACTATTGGCACAACACTTAAAACTCCATATTATAATGTAAGTATTAAATCCAAATCCAGAGTTAGAATGCCTTACACTACCCATAATATGCACTGCAGCAGAAATATAGCACACTAGAAACCTTTAGATGGCCAAAAGTGCAATGTCCCTCCCCCCCTCCAACACACACACAAAAAAAAAAACAATACACACACAAAAGCACTACAATATTAGTCCAAAACATACACATATCACAATATTTCTATATTTTAATGTAAAATTATACTTCATCACCTTTGAGAATGTAAATACCAAGGTAACATATGAATTTCCCCTAATAAGGTTATTAAACCTACAGTCACTTTGATTCGATGATCCAATTGACAATAAAAGTTGCACTAAAAAATTCGCCTAGGTGATCGTCGATCCGAAAACTTAACGAATTCAGGATCGATATTGCAAGAGAGAACCTTAAATGTTTTTTTTCAAAAAAAAAAAAAAAAAAGCGAAATACTTCACATAGTGGCACAATCATCGAAAGAAAGATAACCAAAAGAGGAAACAGGACTGGACATTTACCCGAGTAAATCATTCACTTTCCTGCAAGATACACAATAAAATCTCCCATCTAGTCCTTTATCCAGCCTATCCTTTGTGATGCCAGATCTATCATGCTTTAAAGCACACTCAAGATGACATGACATGCCACATGAATCTCCTTGAAAGGGAGGGTCTGAGCTGCAAATCAACCACAAGCTAGGGTCCTTGTTGTCATCATACTGATAACAAATGCAGCATGAGCACCTCTTGCAAAATGTATCTTCTTGACATAATTTAGCTCTGCAAGCTAAGTTTGTGCAATATATAACAGAAACTAAATCCCCATTAACATTGCTAACTAAAGCATTACTTGCCGCAACAGGTAGTCGATTAGGGTGATCGGTTTTCCTCTGCCTTTTGGAACTCCTTTGGCCAACTTCTGGAGAAGGCTGCGGTTCAGGGTCAGTTAGAGTTCCATATGGCTGTGATTTCTTTCCAGATACAACTTTCAAAAGGTTTTCTATAATTTTCAACTTTGTTAAGCCGGTGTATTTCCTTTCTTTTCCCATCTCTGCACACAGGATCTGCAAGATCTCCTGACGACTCCATGATTGTAGCATTTCTGGGGCACCATGAGACCATTTCGAAAGTTCATAGACCAGTTCTCTCTTTTCCTCCATGCTCAATTTATTGCATTTTGATGGATCAAACACAAATCCTGGATCCAAAGAAAGGGTTGACAAATGTTCACAATTGCATAGTAGTTACGATAAATAAACCTAAAAGATTATGCAAATAGAAATAGCTTGCATTAATGAGTAAGAAACAACAAAAAGATGAAGAACGTTAACAATGCTACTGGAGGGAAGAGGGGAAGAAACATGATAAATTGATCACATTTTTCTACCAAAATTCTTGAAGCATAAAGATTTGCCAAACTGCAAATGACCACCCCCTCAGAAAGAGATATCTATGATAAATGAACCATTAAGATCAGAAAAATAGTTCCTTTCAGAACCAAAAAACCATAAAAAATAGCAAGAATACAGGCAATACTTGGGCAACAATTGACCAACATCCAATCCATAATGAAGAAATAACGACCCCATTACCAACCAGCTTTGAAACACATGCTAATTTATGTGTTTCTATTATAGTTGAGTTTTCAATTAATCAAGAAATACAAAGAATGATGCACCAACTGATATAAAAATAATGTTTGACTTTCACTAATAATGACAGCCCAACCACATTAATAGAGTCAGGATATAAAAAAGTTCTGATTAAAATGGGTGAAGGAGGGTGCTTATAAGCTTGGATGGAAGTGAAACCAACTTGTCTGTCCATTGCCCATGGCTTTGCATATATCCAAGTGGATTCAGTACCCATATTTCTTCCATTCTGAGTCTGACAAGTACCCTTTTCACATTATAAAGGGACAACACGAAAAACAGAGAAAAGGATATGGCTGGCATTTTATTGGTATACTTTAAAGTTCGTATAGAATGCTAAAGACCGTATGGGCAACCTCATTTTCCAACACTACACACCTATGAAATATAAAAAAAACAATGAGAGAGAGAGAGAGAGAGAGCTAACACTCAATTTGATACCAAAGAAATTCGGAAGATCTAATCCACATCAATATTATGACAATTCACAGATAATTAAACACTCATGCCCGAAGACAAATAAACAGTCATCGAAAACTTGTGACCCGGCATAAACAAATTCTTCAGCAGATTCAACCTTTTTGCAATTCAACGGTTCCAAAACCAAATAAAGATTTAATCAGATGCTAATGCTACCCTCAAACTGCATACGTCGTTTTGAAACAACAATAAAACCCAACGAAAATAAAGAAAGAACAAATGGGTTACCCTCAAAAGAAGATGAATCCATAGCTGTTGTTCAATAACCAACCACTCTGTGCACCACATTACATTGAACGCCCCAACTCTTCTGCACCTGCGGGAGAATAATCTTCAATACATACCCAAAACAACTATACATAAACATACACACACCCATACATCTACATAATAAAGTAAGCAAAAGTGTGTATGTGCGTGACACAGAGAGAGAGAGAGAGAGAGAGAGAGAGAGAGAGAAAAAAGGGAATACAAATACCAAGGAGAAGAGGAGCTTGAAATTGTGCCACTAGCAAAGAATCCATGAGTGGATGGATCCTCAACATGGGCTTTTGGGGGACGAAGCAGGCAAAGCGAGAGATTCGAGGACCCTAGTTAGAGAGAGAAAAGCGAAACAATGTAGAGGATAAAGTCGAGAGAGAGAGAGAGGAAAAGTACCAAATAAATATGGCTAGGCTAGCAACAGGGAGCAATAGCGGCTGCATGTGAATCTTTCTTTTTCACCCTCCGTGTCCAGTCCAACTCTGTTGCTTATTAAATTCATTTTTTTTTATCTTTTTATCTTTTTCTAACTGTAGAATATTAATTAAATTCCAATTCAATTTGGTTAAAAATAAATTATTCATATTAAAATTAAGATATTTATGAAAGATAATTTTTTTATAATTTAACTTCAAAGAATTACCAAAATTCAAAATTAAAACTTTTGAATTTACTTGCTTCTCATTTTTATTACCACTTGTACTGCCCCTTTGATTTATTTATTTTTTTAAGCTAAACTCAAAAACCACCCGAAAGAGTTGAACCCCAACGTTTAGATTTACGATTCGTATAGGTCCAACTCTACAATAGAATACCTGTGCGAGTTTATCAAATTCATTTTATTACTGATAAACAAGTAATGAATTGATGCTTATTTTAGTTAAAAAGAGCAAAAAATTCTATTCTATTGAATTGCATCTCAAATTTGAAAAGAATTTTTAAGAAGAGTTTTAGAAAAGTAGTTTTGATATTTTTTGAAAAAAATTAAATGATTTCAAAATAAATTTAAAAGGAATGACCTAAAAATATTGATATTAATTTTTCTTTTAAAATGACTCAAAATATATCATCTCCTATATCGTCTATATTAATGGAATTGTCATAAAAATATATAAAAAAATCCCAAAAATAACATAATATATACAAATACATCTGAAAAAAAAACAAATATTAATATAATTCATTGAAATTTATAATCATTAAACAATAAATAAAATATTGCTCATTTATAAGACCTGATTATGTCCCTATATTATGTCTCAATAACATTGCTCTTATAAAACTCACGAATTTATTACATTTACTACTACTCACTCCAATAACACAACATAATTATAAATTCAGACATCATATTTCTAATCCACCTTATCCCCATGTAATAAATACCTCAATCAAAAAAAATAAATAAATAAATACTGACATAACACAATCAAATTCACAATATTTAATTGATAAATAAAATCAATCGAATCTTGCTCATTTATAAAACTCATAAATTTATCACCACTATCATCATTCAATCCCAAATGATACAGTACAATTATAAATTTAATCATCAAATGTCCAATCATCTAAATATATATTTTACTGAAACACACTCACACACATTTCTTTTTTTGGTTTCCAACAAACCTTCTTAACTAATAACTGCTTTTATTAAAAACACAATAATTCAAAATTCTAAGATAAAATAATAATAAATTAATGCTTAATTAAAAAACAAGATAAAAATCACAGACATCTTTTGAGTTTTGACAATATTACATGGACACCTTCTAATATTTTATAAAGACACCTTCTAATATTTTATAAATAACATGAAACCCTTTGAGGTTTAAAATTCATTACACGGAGACTCCCTACGTCTCATTTCCGTCAATGTTGCAAACAAAAATTGATAATTTTATCTCACAAAAATTTATTATTTTTACAATTGCCCTTCTCCAAATTCAGTACCAAAAAAAAATTTAAAATTTAATAAAATCAAATAAAATTTGATTGAGTACCAAAAAAATTGATTAAATGAATTTCAATATTAATTTGATAACAATAAAAATTAATTTGATATTAATTCGATAAAGTTTAATATAAANGAAAAAAACAATGAGAGAGAGAGAGAGAGAGAGCTAACACTCAATTTGATACCAAAGAAATTCGGAAGATCTAATNAAAAAAAACAATGTGAGAGAGAGAGAGAGAGAGAGAGAGAGAGAGAGAGAGAGAGCTAACACTCAATTTGATACCAAAGAAATTCGGAAGATCTAATCCACATCAATATTATGACAATTCACAGATAATTAAACACTCATGCCCGAAGACAAATAAACAGTCATCGAAAACTTGTGACCCGGCATAAACAAATTCTTCAGCAGATTCAACCTTTTTGCAATTCAACGGTTCCAAAACCAAATAAAGATTTAATCAGATGCTAATGCTACCCTCAAACTGCATACGTCGTTTTGAAACAACAATAAAACCCAACGAAAATAAAGAAAGAACAAATGGGTTACCCTCAAAAGAAGATGAATCCATAGCTGTTGTTCAATAACCAACCACTCTGTGCACCACATTACATTGAACGCCCCAACTCTTCTGCACCTGCGGGAGAATAATCTTCAATACATACCCAAAACAACTATACATAAACATACACACACCCATACATCTACATAATAAAGTAAGCAAAAGTGTGTATGTGCGTGACACAGAGAGAGAGAGAGAGAGAGAGAGAGAGAGAGAGAAAAAAGGGAATACAAATACCAAGGAGAAGAGGAGCTTGAAATTGTGCCACTAGCAAAGAATCCATGAGTGGATGGATCCTCAACATGGGCTTTTGGGGGACGAAGCAGGCAAAGCGAGAGATTCGAGGACCCTAGTTAGAGAGAGAAAAGCGAAACAATGTAGAGGATAAAGTCGAGAGAGAGAGAGAGGAAAAGTACCAAATAAATATGGCTAGGCTAGCAACAGGGAGCAATAGCGGCTGCATGTGAATCTTTCTTTTTCACCCTCCGTGTCCAGTCCAACTCTGTTGCTTATTAAATTCATTTTTTTTTATCTTTTTATCTTTTTCTAACTGTAGAATATTAATTAAATTCCAATTCAATTTGGTTAAAAATAAATTATTCATATTAAAATTAAGATATTTATGAAAGATAATTTTTTTATAATTTAACTTCAAAGAATTACCAAAATTCAAAATTAAAACTTTTGAATTTACTTGCTTCTCATTTTTATTACCACTTGTACTGCCCCTTTGATTTATTTATTTTTTTAAGCTAAACTCAAAAACCACCCGAAAGAGTTGAACCCCAACGTTTAGATTTACGATTCGTATAGGTCCAACTCTACAATAGAATACCTGTGCGAGTTTATCAAATTCATTTTATTACTGATAAACAAGTAATGAATTGATGCTTATTTTAGTTAAAAAGAGCAAAAAATTCTATTCTATTGAATTGCATCTCAAATTTGAAAAGAATTTTTAAGAAGAGTTTTAGAAAAGTAGTTTTGATATTTTTTGAAAAAAATTAAATGATTTCAAAATAAATTTAAAAGGAATGACCTAAAAATATTGATATTAATTTTTCTTTTAAAATGACTCAAAATATATCATCTCCTATATCGTCTATATTAATGGAATTGTCATAAAAATATATAAAAAAATCCCAAAAATAACATAATATATACAAATACATCTGAAAAAAAAACAAATATTAATATAATTCATTGAAATTTATAATCATTAAACAATAAATAAAATATTGCTCATTTATAAGACCTGATTATGTCCCTATATTATGTCTCAATAACATTGCTCTTATAAAACTCACGAATTTATTACATTTACTACTACTCACTCCAATAACACAACATAATTATAAATTCAGACATCATATTTCTAATCCACCTTATCCCCATGTAATAAATACCTCAATCAAAAAAAATAAATAAATAAATACTGACATAACACAATCAAATTCACAATATTTAATTGATAAATAAAATCAATCGAATCTTGCTCATTTATAAAACTCATAAATTTATCACCACTATCACCATTCAATCCCAAATGATACAGTACAATTATAAATTTAATCATCAAATGTCCAATCATCTAAATATATATTTTACTGAAACACACTCACACACATTTCTTTTTTTGGTTTCCAACAAACCTTCTTAACTAATAATTGCTTTTATTAAAAACACAATAATTCAAAATTTTAAGATAAAATAATAATAAATTAATGCTTAATTAAAAAACAAGATAAAAATCACAGACATCTTTTGAGTTTTGACAATATTACATGGACACCTTCTAATATTTTATAAAGACACCTTCTAATATTTTATAAATAACATGAAACCCTTTGAGGTTTAAAATTCATTACACGGAGACTCCCTACGTCTCATTTCCGTCAATGTTGCAAACAAAAATTGATAATTTCATCTCACAAAAATTTATTATTTTTACAATTGCCCTTCTCCAAATTCAGTACCAAAAAAAAATTTAAAATTTAATAAAATCAAATAAAATTTGATTGAGTACCAAAAAAATTGATTAAATGAATTTCAATATTAATTTGATAACAATAAAAATTAATTTGATATTAATTCGATAAAGTTTAATATAAATTGGATAAAATTAAATGTCAATTTTTGATAAAATTATATATTAATTTACAATTTAAGGTTCATTTCCTGTTGAATGTTATTTGGTATGTATAGTCAATGTGTTATTCTTTATTTATATTAAGTATTATTTACAAATTAAGAAGTAAGTGACAAAATGCACGTTGTTAGATATATCAACACTTTGAATTAGTTTCATGTAATAAATAATTACATAACATTTAGTTTCATCTATTTTATGGAGTAAATAATAACAAAAATAACATAAAATAAACAAAAAAAAAAGATAATAACATGAGAGAGAAAGAGATAAAGATAGAGGAGAGAGTTATATGAGAGGTGAGAGTTTTNAAATTACATAACATTTAATTTCATCTATTTTATGGAGTAAATAATAACAAAAATAACATAAAATAAACAAAAAAAAAAGATAATAGCATGAGAGAGAAAGAGATAAAGATAGAGGAGAGAGTTATATGAGAGGTGAGAGTTTTAGAGTTATAAAAGGAATGAAAGTTCAATTAAGACCATTAGATCAAAACGATTTGAATCGTGATAAACTTAAGACAAATAATTTAACTATTTTATTATATAAATAAACCTTTTTGGATTCACAGTTTCATATTAAAATACTAGTCATTTGCCCGTACCTGAAGACACTATGTTACTTATAAAATTTCAACAGACAAAGATAGGATGTTTAAATAATTTCAACACATAGCGATTATATTGGTTTTGAACATTTTTTTTTTTTGGTGCAATTGGTATCTTATTTTTTTTGTATTGGTCAGTTATTTTTTTTGTATTGCTGATTAACTTGAGTTTTGA